GACAGTTACTTTTATCACATGTGAGAGGAAGGTATCCTCTGTAACACTTTTATACAGCTTTTATGCATTTTTTCATGAATATGTGTTTTCCATAAACATAAAAGTCTCCTTCACGTGATTGGTACGTTCGAGGTCATTCGCTGATTGGTAGTTAGTGGTGTTTAAAGTTTAACTTTGCTTCAACATATTAAGTGGGTGATAGTTAACGAAGAAAATTAATACACACAATTAAAGGATAAGAATGGTCGCAATAAAAGTGGATTACATAATGTATAATTTTGAGAAAATGAAGAGTAATTAAGCAATAAGTGAGTGTTCAAGTTGATTACGTAATCGGCACTTAAAGATGGAGTCATAAGAATAAAATAATTTGGTCAATGATAACTTGTAAATGGCTTGGAGGGAAGGGTGAAGTAGTTCGGAGGTTTTTACATTCATATAACATAGGCCAAAGTAGAGAAAGTGACTGTACGAATTCCTCCTTCTGAAGACAACATAAGTATGGCTTCTTCAGGTGGATTCTGATGGCCTCAGCTGTAGTATGTAGAAGATGAACTCGTAAAGCAAAATTAAGATTAGTTGGAATGCGATAAATAACTCTAAGTACTGTATTAACATCAACTTTATGCTCACTGTCTACAAGGTGTGCTAAAATAGAGCTACGAATAGATCTTGTTTGTCCTTTGCCTGACCATGCTGTAGAATGATGTTCGGAAATACGACAGTGATGAACGTGCCTAAATGTGCGCTCAATGTATCTGGCTCCTCAGCAGCAGCCAAACTGGTAGATACACATAGATGAGGAGGCAAAATTAGGTAATTTCTCCTTATTTCTCAAACGTAAAATCAGAGTGGTTGTGAAAAGACAGTGTACCTCTGCTGTATTGAAAGCTCTTTTAACTGCATTCTTCAGGCACTGTGTTACTATTTCACTGATGTCATCATCAAGGAACTGCAGTTTTTATGAATAGTGGCTTTTTTTGATTTGTTGCCTACTGGTATGTTTTGGTGCTAAATTTATGTATTTTTTTTCTCGATGAACTTGTCTGGATAACCAATTTTACTAAGTAATTCTTTAGTATAGAGAAAATATTCATTCAAACATCTATAAAACACAAAATAATTGAGCAAAGAATATCCTTGTCGATAATTTATATGCATAGAATATTCTAGAATAATAGTCAATAACAATATTAGTGTGTCTCTTAAATAATATCGATTTGTAAAGTAAGATCACAATGGAATCACCACAGTTCATTAATGATGCTTAAATTATAATGGTAATAATAAAAATGTAATAGCAAATAGAATATCAACTAAAGTTAGGAAAATTTCACCAAAATTCAGGATCATTCAAACCTGGATGTTCAAGGTAATGATAATGACTGAACTAACTTCTTTTGGATGCACAAATTAGGCTTCTTAATGGGGATCCCAACGGCCTCAGCAATATTTAGTAGTCGAACTCTTAAGGCGAAATTAAGATTTTTTGGTATGGATTCAATGATCCTGAAAGCCTGGTTAACATCAATCTTGTGTTCTGTGTCCACAAGATGAGATAGAATAGCGCTAGGAATAGATTTTGTTTGTCCTTCACTTAACCACTATGCAGGATGATGTTCGGAAATTCGATGAGAAACACGCCTAATTGTACGGCCTATGCAACTAAATGGCTCACTCCACAGGAGCAGTTAAATTGGTAGATTCACATGGAAGAGGCGAAATTAGGCAGTTTATCTTTTACTCCCGAACGCAAAAAAAGGAGTGGTTTTGAAGACAGCGTAATTTGGCAGCAGCAGGGAATGCTCTTTTTACCGCCGCATTTCTAAGGCTCTGTGTAGTCTTAAGCTCCTCATTGAGAGAGTCGTTCGAACGGATTATTCAAGCTATGTGAATCAGACACTTCCCTATATTGCTACTGACTGTTTGTTGCTAGCAAATATATAGCCACTTGATTGGTAAAATATTATGTATTGAATTCAAAATGCCAAATATATTACAGTAGAACCAGAGATGAGGATCCTATTTGAAAAGTAAATATTTCTTCACTCGATCCTTTTGTATTCTAAATGTATGAATGGGGATATTTTTCTATAATACATGAGTATTTTTGATTGCACACTAGTCAGTAAATAGTGTAATGTGTATGTCTAGTCCTATCTTCGGTGCAGACTGAATTCTATCAGTCATGTTTGCAATGTGGCCACCATGCTAGGTGGCTCGCCATTACGGTGCACTGTAAATTGTTAATATTAGATGGTTGGAGGCAATCGGCCATAGGAAGCCCTGGACCTAGGTTTCGTGCTAGTTGGAGGTCAATCGCGAGCCAGCCTGAATAGCTCAGTGGTAACGTCGTCTCTGACTTCAGAACTCACTGGGTGACGCGGGTTCGAACCTCAGAAGGGAGGGACATCAGTTCTTTCAAGGTTGCAGATACGCCTTGCTGATGAGTGCCAACTAGCACGAAACCTAGGTCCAAGGCTTCCTGTGGCCGATTGCCTACAACCATCTAATACATGAGTATTAATCAAATTTCGGGATTTTGTTTTTCAATCCTTTGTATTCTGAGTACGGCGTGTACTACTGATAAGATTTATCAGTAGTATGTATATAAAGAGATGTTCATCGACATAAAAAACATCAAATAGCAGGCAGATAGATTCGATGCCAGAGAAAACAAATGAAACAGCGTTGTGGAGATACATGGGAGACGTGAAAAGGAAGGCGGCGAAACACAATATGAAGGAAAGACAAGAGTAACACAACACGGAAAATCTGTGCAAATCGTGATTTGCAGATAAGATGTACATAATTTGGCTAGATAGAGAGATATCAAATTCCAAATGAACATTCCTTTACAAAGTCTCCTTCATCTTCTACCGTTGTAACGACAGAAGACAAGGGCCAGACAAAAGTTTGTTTATTGAGAAAATCAGGAGTTATTTATAGATTTCTATGTACATTATTATTATCGTTATTGTTAGCAGAGAAGCAACGTCTTCTAACTGGTTGTTTTCTTCCTGAAGGTTATTCTGTACTGCTTGTGACCGTTTCTTAGAAAGTTAAGCCATATATCTGCGAATCGTATTTGCACACGTTAAGTCTGCTGTGATTGGTTGTTGAGTTCCTCAAGGTTAAGCTTTGTTATTGTTTTTTCTCATGACCCCGATTCGGGACGTAAACATTGACGTAAATTGCTGTCTACAATTTTGTCTTGCAGACAGCTCTCACCACACCGTTAAAATAGGGCGTCAAGAGTGAAATCTGAAGTTTCAGTAGTAATGATGTTCAATTTTACTGGACGCGGTAGTTGAGTTTTATGCCGAACTTACTACTGGCTAAATAATTTGTTGAGGAGTGCGTCGACCTGGAGTTACAGTTGTGGCTCATAATCCTACATACCAATATCGTCGAGATCGTAAAAAAGATATTTTTCTTTGTTGAATTCTTTGTTTTTATGTCTCAATAGGGATTATTAATTTGACATGTAATCATCTAAAATGGCTGTAAATAAGATCCTTTTGAGATCCATTAATGGCTCTAATCCCGTTCTTCATTGCTCTGCAAAATCCCTCAGAACAATTGGTGTGAATCCCTGTAAGAGGACCTACAAAATCACTGACGTATTTCACTCTATGATAAATATATCCCAAGGATAATAAAGAGTTATATCCTTTCCAGTCTGCGTGTATTGTAGATCCTTGTTTCACCAATCGAGTGGTAAGGGGGTATTAAATTAATTGACTTTCTATCTGTTATTATCTCGACGAATCCTTTCCATAGAGAGATATTGTACAATACAATCACTCAAGTATTACTTGCTCCTTCACGACCACTGTTGCATTTTCTCTTTAATAAAACTGTTTCATCTGTGTACAACGAAACCTTCTCCTCCCAGCAAAGAAGTAAGTCTCTTCATCTTTCAAGACGCGATATCTCTGCAGTGCTGGTACTACTGGACTGTGTTGATACGAGGCTATTTTCCGTTTCAGCAGCAACTGCAGATGTCACAGGCTGTTTTAAAACCCAGTAATTACATGTATACAAAATCTGGGTTAATAACAGCTTACCTTCTCTGACATTAACTTGTCTCAAACAAATTTCACAACGATGCACATATCTATCAACCGATCTACTGAAGCTTTTTATAGTTATCACACACACCTCCACATGAACAAATCCCCTGTCTTTTCTAATCAGTACCACATCTAAGCAATCTTTGGAAGACTTTGGTCCTCACCAAATTTTAGACATCGGTCCGTTAGAACAGGCATTTGACTCGAATCAAGTGGAATAGAAGGTTGAACTCATATGAAGACACTCATTGGTACAGTCGCACTCTACTGGTAGTTACATTGGTGCTTGAAGTTTAACTTAGGCATAAGGTGTGGAGGTCAACAGCACTCAGCATCAAAAATGAGATCCGGATTTTCAACTCCAATGTGAAGTAAGTCACTGCTACTATATGGATCAGAGACTTGGCCAGCGCGTGATAAAGAGCGTCTCAAACAAATTACAAACCTTCATTACCAGTTGTCTTCGCTCAATACTCAAGATCAGATGGCCGGCCGGAAAAGATCAGCAACAGGGAGGGATCTCTGGCAATGAGCGAACCAACCCAGCAGGAACCGATTGTGCAAAAATAGGCAGGAAGAAATGGAGGTGGATTGGCCATACTCTGAGGAAACCATCAAGTGTCATCATCAGACAAGTCATTGCTCGAGTGGAACCCGAAAGGGAAGCGGCGAGTTGGTCGTCAGTGCAAGGGTGACTTGGAGGAGGTCATGTGAAGAGGAGATGAAAACGTGTGGGCAGACTTGGAGCCAGGTGAAGACTCTAACAGAGAAACGAATGCAATGGAGACGTGTGGGGCTGAAGCCCTATGTTCCTCTAGGAATTAAAGGAAACAATAATATAATAATAGTGTATGTATTGTCATCTGTCTACATTTCATTTTTATTGTGTTTTTTCGTGTTTTTTTTAATTTTTATCTTTCAAAGGCATTCAGCTTCCTCGACAACATTTTGTCCACTACGTGATTGTAGTCCTATGATACTACGTGAAGGCTGTTTAACCCCGATTGAATCAGAAGAGAATAGTACAAATAACAGTTTAAAGCATAGAACAACAACTACTACTAACAATAATAATATCAGTAGTATAATCACCTACACAGATAATTATGATAAATTACAAGAACCATTAACTAATACAATGTCTATTAACGTCAATAAATTCAATCAATCCCTATCATTATCATCCCCAGCAGCAGGATCATCATCATCACCTTCATCAGCATCAGGAACAACAACAACAATGGAATTAATTTCTAATTCAACGTCAAAATCAAATTTTACACATGCTAGACGTTCATCATTTAAACCAATTACTTCAGTAAAACAAAAAGCTTCTTCAACATTGATCAATAATAACAGTCAAGCACCATTAGCTATGAGTAATACTAATACTACTAATAATAATAATGTTAATGTTAATGGAAATATGAATAATCCTAAGCCATATATTCCCTCAACTGTTCAACAAACAAATACAATTAATAGTAATAATAGTAATATATCAACAGCAAATGAAACTGCAACTACCAATGCTACTACTACTACCATGACAACGACTCGAATATGTACTTTATGCTTACGTGAATGTCATAATAACAGTAATAATAATAATAATAATAACATTGTGATAAATGATTCTATATTAGTTTGTGAATCACTTCTTTCAGATTACGAAGATGATGAAAATAATAATAATAATAATAATAATAATAATAATAATAATAATAATAACAGTGCAAATGGAGATAAATTAATCTGTGGAGCAATATTTCATACAAGCTGTTGCAAAATCTGTAAGTTTGTGTTATGTATGCTACTTACTGTGTTAATTTTAAACAGTTATAATTAATTTTAAAGCAATTAGTTCCCTTTAGGTGAATTTAGTTAGACAAAGCAAGCAATAAGAAGACATAATTTTCAAGTATTGGTTTGTAGGGATTTGGTTGACTGGTTACAGGATTTCATCATGAGCTGACATTGGTTAGAGAACCATTGGAAAACCTGCAGGGAGTACTGGACAGCCACCGGGAACCGCCAAACCAATGGCTAGTCCATGAATTCTAACTTCTGCCAATTCACGATATAACGCAACCGCTAGCCAATGTCTTCGGCGAGTATTTGTCCTCACATTCGCTAGCGGTTGCGCAGAAGTTAGAATTCATGGGCTGGCCATTGGATTGGGTCCCAGTGGCTTAACGGTATACGAGCTGGCTGGCCTTGTAACCAGAAGGTCCTGGGTTCGAACCATGGTGGGCGCGTACTGCTGAAGAGTGCCAATCCATGACTGGAGAAACAGCTGTCCAGTACTCCCAGGTGGTTTCCAATGGTTCTCTAACCAATGTCAGCTCATGATGAAAAAGACAGTTTGTCTGGATCGTGTGTAATGTGCATATTTGCGCAACACATTTCGAACAATCTGATCCATCACACACGCACACACACACACGAACCTGTCAAATAAAATTGATGTTAACAGAACTTTTAAACTTATCCATCCATAAAACGTGTTTGGGAGAGGGCGTATCCTAAAGTTTGTGGAAGCCCTAGCTGGCAGTTAGAAAGTTTAAACCACCTTTATGTGTTCATCAAAGCAACAATTCGTCATCACACTAAAACTACCTTCTTTGGTAAACTTTGTTTTGATACCAGCCAGGGTAGAAGTACCATTACCTCTGCTATTTGGTTTAGTGATCTTTATTGTTATTTTGACCTTCAATATGTCCTCCTTTTAATTTGACTTAAGTAGTCTATTTTCTCACCTCTTAACTCTCTATTAATTTCATATACAAATTCCTATGACAAGTCCGTGTGTGATCAGATTGTTCGAAATGTGTTGCGCAAATATGCACATTACACGATCCAGACAAATTACGTCTTCTTATTGCTTTATCTAAAGTTATAATAATGGTTTTTTTTGTATTTCCCATTGAATGAATGAAAAACAAAACGGTACTATTTTTTCTTCATATATTTTTGGTTCCCTTGATAAATTTTGATAAAGAAAGGAAGATGAAATTTGCAATATAATAAAATGTGATATCATCATTCTATTTCACAGGTTCTCCTCATCAGCTGCACACCACTACCTGAAATTACAATGGTTAAATATATAGATGATAATAACATACTTTAATTTTTGCAAGTGATAGTAGAGAAGAAAGAAATACTATAAAATTGACGCATCCAAAATGTAAGCAGCATTACAATTTCTTTAGTTTAAGTTTTCATCATCAATTTATACGCTTTCAAAGTAGAAAAGAGAGGAAAGGGGTAGGACAGAAAACAGAAAAAAATAACAAACAGTATTAGCTTGTAGGTTCACATAGGAACTCAAAAAACAAAAGCGGTTAAAGTTGATAAGATTGAGATTTGCCCAGCCAGTATGCATAAGACTGGTTGGTTTGAATCGTTTGATTGCGGTCGCTTCGACAAATCGTAGCAGATTTGCTGTCCTTTGTCTATTTATTATTTTGAAGGACTTAGAAATGTCTACGAGATGACCGGTATCAGCAATATGTCTGGTAATTGCAGTCTGAGAATATCTGCTTCCTTTCAGGCACAGGTTTCTTGGATTATGTTCATAAAACCGGATAGAAGCCCTCCTTTCTGTCCTTCCTGTCGTTTCTACTGACGTTTTGCTATTTAATGCTGCTGCTAATAGCTTTATCAAAGTAGTATTATTAAACCAGAATTTACAGAATCTCAGCTTATACATAACAACTTAATCATCGTTCATCAGTGTGGGGTAATTTTGTTTACGTTATCCAAGTTGGCCTATTGGTAAAGATAACAAAACCAGGTGTAGATTGTTGGATTTGATAAGTGTATAAGATTATAAAAGCAGCGTGTGTTTACATAATGAAATTATTTATGACATTTATGTTGACTTTGTCATTTCATGGGGGAGGGGTTAGCGTTGCAGCTAGGTCACATTCTGTTTTAGTCCATCATTCCTATTCAGGCAATTTGGATTCCATTTGAAATGAAGTGCTTCCGATGATATTAGACGTTCTTTGTGATTTCTGAAATACTTTTCCTGTATTATTTCTACAGTGCCAAAATCAATTTTTTCGCCTGATTCTATAGCGTGTAGACATAGTGCTGATGACTTTTCAAGGTTTTCCAGTTTAACTGCATTTCTCGGTGGTCGAACAGATGCTCTACGGTGTTCATTTCTTCTGATCACCTTGATTTCTTGAGATGTCTGTCCGATGTATATCGCATCACATTCCAAGCATTTTATTTTATAGACACAATTAGATAGAGAATCTTTAGGGATTTGGTCTTTTATATGGACAAGTTTGCTTCGCAGTGTGTCTGATTTTTTGAAGAAAACTCTGATATCCAGATTATTGAGTACTCTTCTGATATCGCCTGACGTATCTGCTCTATATGGAATAACTGACAACTGTTGAGGTCCATGTTTTCGACCATATTTAATGTCAGTGTTGATTTTGTCGATGAAGTTCTTTGTGTAGTTATTTTGCTTAAGAGTCTCAGTAATGTTTGATATTTCTTATTCTTTTTCTTTCTCATCCGTTATCAGAGAGTGTGCTCGTCTAAGAAGACTTGAAACAACTGATACCTTTGCACTGATAGGGTGTGATGATGCCAAGCCTAAATATTTGTTGTTGGCGTGGGTTTTCTTCCTGAACATAGATATACTAAAATGTCCGCTTTCTCTCCTCTTAACTAGGCAGTCTAGAAATGGTAGTTCACCGATATCTGATTCTGCTTCTGAAGTAAAGTGGATTCCGGGAGATAGAATGTTCATTTTCTCCAGGAATGATCTCGTTTATGCACTACAAAAGTATCATTTATATATCTTAACCATATTTGAGGAGTGAGGATGCCTGAAAAGATGTTATATTCGAATTCATTCATGAAAAGGTCAGCGACTATTGGGAAAACTGGTGAAACCATAGCAACACCATTTGTCTGTTTATATAAACTCCCATTAAATGTAAAATAATTACTTTCTGTACAGAATTTCAAGCTGTTAACTATTTCACTGGTTTCCAGTGGACATCTTTGTGATAGTGTTGTATCTGATTCTAGTAAACTGGAAATTATATCAATTGCACAATGTGTCAATCTTCTCAGTAATTATGATGCTAATTTGTCTGAGCTTTATCCATCCCCCTGTTTATTATGGCATTTTAATTCCTAATTGTAATTTTATTAATTTTGACCCTTGACCGGAAATTATTCTGGAACTTTCCCACCTATTTATTATAAATACATGAATGTACAGCCTAGTTTGTTTATGACTTCGTTGGGAAGAAAATTTTCTACCATTTCCTTGGGTGGTCGCGCTATATCACGAATTGGTAGAAGTGAGAATTCGTGGGCCATTGAATTGGGTCCCAGTGGCTCAATGGTATGCGTGCTCGCTGGCCTTGTAACCGGAAGGTCCTGGGTCCGAACCCTGTGATGGGTGCGTGCTGCCGATGATTCCCAAACTGAGATGAAACAGAAGTCCAGCACTTCATTGCTGGTTTTCACTGGTTCTCTAACTGATATCAGTCGGTGATCAACCCGTAAAAACAAGTTTAATCCTTACAAACCAACTGTAGAAAATTTAATAATAATAACAGTGAGTTTGTTTCAAACAGTATTGTCGATACAGTATGCAAATTTTAGCATGTTATAGAATATTGAATCTAATGTTCTCTTGATACAGCATGGTGAAGGGGAAAACAGAAAAATAACATTTTTTACACGGCTTAAATGATGTTTACACTTATGAGAAAATAAACAAAAAAATTTGAGGGGATTATAGATATAAGAATAATAATAAGAGTAAAGCACGATGTTATAAGGGTGAAGAAAATTGTTTGTTTACTGGTGGAAAGAAGATTAGTTAGTTAGTTATTTCGTGCCTGACACGCAAAATCCCTGCTATATACGGTATCTTGGATTCTTTTACTTCGATGCGCGTGCATAAAGTCTTTTGATGAAATGACTTCTTGTCGTAATTGAGGAGATGCTAGTGAGGGGATGCTCACAGTCTGACAAATTTATGGCATGAAATTAAGTGCCTACCAATAATGACAATGTCAACAATATGGCGGCCCAGTGTGATGCTTCCACTCGCCTTTCTGACAGTCTTCAGAGTTCTACGGAGTATGACGCAGTCTTTTTTTAAGCGACCCAAGGGAAAGAATATGGGTAAAATAATAAAGAAGAATAGGTAAGAATAGGCAAGAGTTGACAAACTGTAAAAGGAAGGGGTTTCAGTTATACCCAAGTGCATTAATTTCTTCTTAGCGAAAAATATCAGGTGGAATATTTTACTAGAAATTACTAAGACGTGGGAACAACAGGATAGATCAGAAAAAAGAATTAATCTAAGATACTTTAAGTCACACTTCATTGACTTTGAAAAAGCCTTCGACAGCGCAGCGTCGATCTAGGGATGATTTGGCAACTACTTTGCTACTAAGGGGTGCCGCCAACAATTATACATCTCATCCAACAGTTGTACAATAATGCTGCATGCCATGTAATCCACAAAACGGAAACTCACGGAATCCTTCGAAGAAGTCAAGACGGGAGTAAGACAAGGCTGGCTGCCTACTATCTCCAATGATTTTCCTGATTTCGGTAGACTGGATAATGTGACAGACAGCGGCGGGTAACGAGGAAACAGGCATAAAATGGACCCACACAAAGACAAACTTGGAGGATCTGGACTTCACCACTGATATGTGTCTGATTTCTCACAAACTGGAAGATATGCAAGTGAAAAGCAACAAGTTGGCGATAGAAGAAGCATCAAAGATAGGACTTC